TCACAAAACTGCCGAAACTGGTTACATTACACTTCTTATCACAAAACTGCCGAAACTGGTTACTTTACACTTCTTATCACAAAAGCTGTTGAAACCGGTTAATTTACACTTCCTGTCCTGATAAGAAGTGTAAAGTAACCAGTTTCGGCAGTTTTGTTAAAAGCTGTTGAAACCGGTTAATTTACACTTCCTATCACAAAACTGCCGAAACTGGTTACGTTACACTTCTTATCACAAAACTGCCGAAATTGGTTACTTTACACTTCTTATCACAAAAGCTGTTGAAACCGGTTAATTTACACTTCCTATCACAAAACTGCCGAAACTGGTTACTTTACATTTCTTATCACAAAAGCTATTGCAAATCAGGTGCTTTATTCTTCTTAACACAAACGCTGCTGTAAACCTATTGCTTTACCCTTCTCATCACAAAAGCTGCTGAAACCTGGTACTTTAATCTTAATCTACTGAAACCTGTTACTTTACGCTTCTTATCACAAAGGTTGATGAAACCTGATGCTTTATCCTTCTTATCACAAAGGTTGCTGAAACCAGACGTTTACACTTCTTATCACAGAAGCTGCTGAAACCGGTTACTTTACAGTTTTGATCTATCACAAAAGCTGCTGCAAACCTGTTGCTTTACTCTTCTTAACGCAAATACTGCTGTAAACCTGATGCTTTACACATCTTATCACCAAAGTTGCTGAAACCTGTTACTTTACCCGTATTATCCCAAAGGTTGCTGAAGCTTCTTGTTTTACTCTTCTTATCAGAAAAACTGCTGAAACCTATTACTTTACAATTTTTTATCTATCACAATAACTGCTGAAACCCGTTACTTTACTCTCCTTATCAGAAAAACTACCGATACATCCGCACGTTTCTCAATTAAAGAAGAGTCTCTTCTGCTACGAACGTTTTTTCCTTCTGTGGCAGTTGAATGTAAAAGAAATGAATATCTAAAATTGACTTTAAAATGCACAGCAATTAGATAACTTGTAGTTTACAAGGATGTCACGAGAGAGCAGTACGATGGAAAACAGTAACGTAAGGAAAGCTAAAATATCTGTACTGCGCAATGACCTATTACCTTTAATTTCCAAACATTTGCTAGGGCATTACGTTTACATTAAAGTAGCGACCATTTATAGTATACAACAATTACCACTCCATATTGGTTGTGAATAGCATAGTAAAAATTAAGTGTATTATCTAAATGCACCATCGTGCAAATAAGGTTAATCAAAATTATTGTTATGTGAAGGTTTGTTTGTTTGTCGTTATTCCCTAAACTACGCAATGGGCTATCTCTGCTGTGCTTACCACGGTTATCGAAATCCGATTTTTAGCGTTGTAAGCACGCAGACTTGCCGCTGAGCCACTGTGGTCTTATGAGAGAGAGAGAGACGCAAAACAAAATATCCTATCGAACCTTAACCCTTATAATCTGATGCGAATTGGATCGTTGTATACGAAATTTGAATTGTATATTTAGTTCTACATCCAGTACAAATTCCTGTAAAAAAGTCATTTTTTGATAACCATGTAGTACTTAAAAATTAAAGAAGTCCGATTTTATCAAAGCTTTTATAACTTGAGATTGATTAGGCTTACTTACACAAAATGTTGTGGGTCCCACTGGTGGTTTTTGTCTAGGGCTGAGCCATTGTTTTTGTCGTTTCATATTCGCATAGATAACCCAATTTTCATCACTGGTGACAACTCTGTCTAAAAATGGTTCACGCGCATGACGCGCCAGAAGAGACGAAGCAACGTTCCCACGTTGGAAATGATGATCATCGGAGAGTTCATGAGGTACCCAAACACCTTCTTTATGGAGTTTTCCCATATTCCTTAGATGTTTACGTATT